TTGTTCAAATCGGTCCCTCTGTTAAAAAGTTATAAGCAAATAAAGGAATCGACGATAGGTGGCGCAGTGGAACATTACTCTTCTTTGCTGAGTAAAGGAAATTTGATAGTCGAGTCCATCGACTATAGCGTTCTCTATTGGTATTTATCAAGAGGATTTCAATTCGAATTCAGAAGTACATTTTTCCACATTTTATAAAACACCTGAATTTTATCAATCCAGTTCTTCCCCATCTTAAACCCGTTTATCGGCATAATTTATGTTCTAAATGTAACCCATTTTCGTAATATCAACGCATCAAATTGCGTTGCATTTTCTTGAGTCCCTTGACATCACAAAAAGTAAGTAAAATTGGCAAAGAAATAAGTAGACTTAGGTGAAAATTCAGTAAAAACAACAGAGGGATTTTGGCACACCTCAAACCCTTTTCCCACAACATCGAACTCCACTTTTGCCCAAGACCTAAGCGCCGACATAACTTAATGACGTCGTTTTATGTTTCACTTTGGCAGCGAGGGCAATAAATTTCCCGGTCTTTGGTTCTTACATCAGTGCTTCAGTGTTTTTGTGGGCCTGTTGTGCAATGCAATTTCACCCTGACTTACGAACCCACACTCCGCCAAAAAAGAAGGGAAAAATCCGGAAAATTCATTGCGTTCGGTGCTGGGATTATCGGAGTCGACTTCAGTGTCTGCTGTGAAAGTGAAATTCCTGGGGCCTGGAGAAACAGCATAGTGCATAGAGAAGGTGATTCAACACCTGGGCAAATATTTCACATGACAAGCCAAGGTGAGAAGGTATGTTAAAGTGGAGGGCCAACGGGCTGTCGTTAGTCTGATTTGCACTGTGGTCGCTTGAAATTTTCGGTAATTTCTGTTTGCCCAGAAACGCTTTAATTGGCTTTAAGACTCACTTAGGTAAGAATATTAAAGAAAATTTACAATTTTGCTTTGAAATCAAGGGCTTAACTACACAGATCGACAGATTATGACTCTACATTACGTCATAGTCTTAAGTAAATCTTTGTCAAAGTAAGAAATTTAGTAACAGCTAAACCATTCGAATCCCAGAACAAGAGAATAGCTGAAAAGGTTCATTGAACCTTGATTCAAAAAGAGGGGTTCAACTATTAAATAACTATACAAATATTATTTATTGAAATAAAATATATATTTATGCTTATTGCGTGATTACCGAAGGGCCATTAGTCAATTAAAGTGGGAAGAACAATGCAACCACTTTTCCAACAATGCATAAATGGCGGCTGTCAGTTGCATTTGCAAAGAGTAAAGTGTATTGTTTTTTTAATTTCATTGGCACTGCAGAAATAAGCTCGAAACTTGCCTGCACTTCCTGATATGCCAGACACTGAAAGTGACAGAAACAGGGAAAACAACGCCAAGTTGAGTGGAGGTGGTTGCATTTTAACACCTGAATGTTTTGCAAGTGGCAAGTTGAGCTTAACTAGACAGACAGTTGGTTTATCCAAAAAGCGTCAAAGAATTCTCGGCCTCATTGTGGATAAACTGTTTTTCACCTGGCTTTCACTGCTCAAACTTCTCTGGAATTAGATCTCATCACAAGGGCTTTTCATTGAAATACCTTTTGTATATGTACGAGAATATGCTTAGATGGCAGAAAATTTTGTAAATATTCCAGGTAGATTTTCCACACAAACTAGTTCAGGAAATTTGTTTAAACACTCACAGGCACTTGGGTAAAATGCTCACGTAGCCACCGCAAAAAGAGGTAAAAACTTGAGGTAAACTATCAGAAGTAAAAAGAGCCACATTACACGGCCAATTGGGAACTGATTGGGTCTGATTCTGATCCACTGAGGCGGATACGAGTGCAGCTCGACCAGATTGATTGCTGTCTGCAGAGCTGGCGAAAAACCCGCCAGGTTTAAAACCCCCAGCCCCACCCAAAACTCAACCCCATCATCTCAAAAACCGTCTCGAAATCCTGCCTGCTCTTGAAGTGAAGAGCATTTTGCCGCTGGGCCGCCGCAAAGTATGCAGTGAGTTTGCAGCGAGCTTGCTACTACTGTGTCGTGTAATCTGAGCGTTATAAATAAGTAATTAGCACATAGTGAGCAGGTGCATGACACGTCAAACATTCTGCATCGCACACACATTCCTGCGATCGTACATACACGTATTTCCCTCATCATTGCACCGCATTTAATGGCCTCCGTGAAGCGCAATTTAGTTTTCAGGACCTTTGTTCTTGCATAATGATGCCACAGCCGTATCTTTCACACGTGCTAAACACTGCATCCTTTCTTCATGTTTTCGGTTTTCCTCACAGATGAGGAGCAGCGACCTTCGGAGGCCTGAACAACAAAATGTGAGACTCAACTCAAATGTAAACTTGCCTTGATCATATAGAATGCATGAGGGTTTAATAGCTCTTAAGACTTTAAAAGACATCTTTTAGGTGCATCCAAAGTAACCCTGAGCAAGCAGTAACCCTTCAATGGAAAATATCATGTTCAATCACTGAGGGAAAAATCTAAACTATCAGGTATTAAAAACATGTGTTCGCTGGAGAATTCTGACGTTCTCATCTGAGTTGAAAATGTTCTTAAAAATAGAACGAAATTTTTAAAGTTGAAAATGTTTTCATTGGGCTTGAACCAAGATAAAGTGCGGTATTTCCGTTGTATATCCAGTCCTATCCATCCCGTATACTGTAAACTACAGTTTATACTTATTAAAAAGTTGTTCAACTAACTCAATTTATTTTTTTTTTCTTCTCACCATTTCGTTATAATATTGAGAACACTTACACGGTTTTCAAGAACGAATGATCTCAATTCAAGAACAATGTACTTTAATAATTCTCGCTTCATACCATTTATTTTGAAGGAATATATTAGAATATTAAATGAATTTGTAATTGTATAATTTAAAAAATGTGTTACAATAGTCAAATTAAAGACTCAGCTAAAGGAGATCAATTTTCCGAAATTAAACCAGGCGCAATATGTCTTAATAAGATTCCCGGCAATGCATCCCCGGACAAGGACACCTGAAATGGACCGAAAAGGAAGCTGTCACTCCGGCGACTTAATATTAAAACGGAAATGAAATAATGGCGGCAAAGTGGAGTTTCAATGGCGCTCGAAATTGGAATTGTCGTTGGCATATATGGCCTACCATTCAATCAGGCAATTAACATTAATTATGATATATGTACGCTCGCCAGCTCATTTTCCTTCGGCCACTCATCCCGTATACTTCAACGCATTCGATTCGCATTAAAAGCATTTTTGCGGCAACTGGTCCCGAAATTCAATTTCGGTTTCCTTTCTTCCATGGTTTTCATTACATTTTGCCTGCGACAATTTGCGCTGCTGATTTCCCCACAGGCAATCGGTGGGGGCTTGTAATTAATGCGGATTCCATCGAGAAGTCGGGGGAACATGTGAGTCGAGCCATCAGCCATCAAATATGTGAATATGGCAATCGATGTGACAATTTGGTGCATCCATTTTCAGCAACTAATTGGAAGGCAAAATCTCTGGAGAGGTGGAAACCAGTTTGTATGGTAAATATTATGTTTTGATTGCCGCCATTGTGAACTAACATTGAATATGCAAAAATGTTCACATAAAAATTAGGTGAAAAAGTGCTATTAATTTGCCCAACATTTTAATAGATTTACTCCTAAATATGTATATTTGGATATTAAAACCTATCATTTTATAAAGATAAAATGTCTGTCACACTTTGTCATTCCAAATTGAAATTTGTACCTTTAACGAGATATTGTATATCATTTTGCCTTCAATTTATTTCCATTCAATTACCATGAAACGTTCCTAGGCAAAGTAACCTTGTATTTTTTCCGTATCTATGAGAAATGTTTTGTTTCTTTTTGGTTTGCCTAGCAAGAAGTTTCATCTCTGATAACTCATTTCATTTGGATGCCAACTGCAAACGCATTTTTTCCCTTTGAAAGTGAATATGGCGTGGAAAATGTACATATAGTACATGTGTATATAAGACTTCTGCACATTTTCAAACTGTTTTTTATGCTCGCTCTGTGTCACAACGCGAACTGGACTCGTTACCTTTTACAGTCAATTAGTTTAATTAATTTGACATAGTGCCATATCTTTGTAACCAGAAAAACAAAACTGGGTAAATTCTTTGCAACTTTGTCTCTCTCTGTGATTTTTCAACTGACATTTTTTAGGCGTTGTGATTTAAATTTATCACCAGGTAGGGCTTTAAGCCAGGTTCCAGTTTTGATACAATTTACCTTATTCATTCTTCGTCATTTTGACTTAAAATCCAGCTATTCTTTCTCCATTTACTTCGATCCAACACCAATAAGTGGATTAGACTTTTAGTTGAGTGGCTTATAGACAAAAAAGGGGAAAAAACTGAAAAGTCTGAAGAATCTCTCTGCTTTCGCTAAGTCCCTGTTAAGCGACAAATGTGGTGCGGCTAATGTGTGTATTATTGGATTTATTATTTCACGGCAACTAAACAGAGAATTTAACCCCCTTACGGTTAAATAAAGAACGCTGTGCTAAAAGTTCACGAGACAATTAAGTGCAGTACAAAAGAAAGTCTCTCTCAAATTCCCTTTTAAAAGACTAAATGCTGCAATCAGACGGCCACTTAAGCAACTTCCTGAATCAATTGGCTTTTCTGTTCCCTCAGTTTATTCTTTATTTATGCAAATGGTTTTCAACTTTAAATCAAAGAAAAATAATTGTTGAAGGGGTCTTATTAGTGCGGGATAAACTCCCTTTCAATTATACGGCTTTAAAATTAAATTACAATTTTTAACCACATTTTGATTTAGGTATATCACAATTAATAATTATTTATTTGCCGGGACACGGGTTCGTATTCGTTTGCTGAATATATAAAGTAAACTTAGTAGCACTTACCTTAAATAGGTAAACAAAGTCCACAAATTAGTTACAGATTATGGATTAACCGTTTTATGAACCATATATAAGTGATATATAATTTGTATTTCACAAAAACAGCATCCAGAGCGGGGGCAATACTATATTCAATGCCATGATAAAGTGGATTTGGCTGCTGTCCCTTGTCTTGAATATCTATAATATCAAGGCTTCAACAGATTGGTGCGCAACTGATCTCTGCAATGGACAACATGTCCTTTGCAAAAACAATAAGGTGAGTGGAAGATTAGATATCCAAGAAATAAAGGATCTGTTTAACTTGTTGTCCAGAAATTTCATTCACCTTGTCCGAACCACGCCACAGCGATGGTGATGATGAAAAAGGATATGATTAACCTAATCCTGGAAAAACACAATGATTATCGCAATAAGTTTGCCGCCGGAATAGATAATCATGCGAAGGCAGCTAGAATGGCCACAATTCAATGGGATTGGGAACTGGCCAGAGTGGCTGATGGCCTGGTACGTCGATGTGAGCCCCTCAGAGATGAGTGCGTTAGAACCCCGAATAACCTTTACGCAGAAGTGAGCTACTCCCTCGAAAAGTACTACTGTATGACCTCGAAAAAGGATGCTTTGAGAAAACAACTAGACTACTGGTTCGATCCGAAAAGAAAAGATGAATCGCATAAACTATTTTTCTCTATCAAGGAAAATGAACAGTAAGCCCAATCTATATACTATACTAATACATGATCTTTTAATAAATGATCTCTCCAGGGAACTTTCGTTGAACTATTTTCAGGTACTTAGGGATCGAGCAAACCGCGTGGGCTGCGCCATAGTCGAATATATTCGCCCAGCACTCGTCCATCAATTACTAAAATGTGTTTACAACTGTGGCGTAACTCTCTGTGAGGACGATCATAATCCTGTCTACGAGGACACCGAATATGATGCAGCTGAAGAGTGTGTGATGGGATCACATTCTAAATATAAAAACCTTTGCCACGAAGATGAGCAAGTTAAAAGCTGCGATGGCGGAGATCTCCTCGTGGAAAGTGAAAATAACAATGAACCTCCTCTTACTGCAACTACGATTCCACTTCCATCTTATAACATAAGTGAGTTCTTACCAGCAATACCGGATAATCCCGATCCGTTCCTTAGTTTTGGTGAACTTCCGGACAACCCCGACATATCATTCAGAACAAACAGAAATAATTCACTGTTTGCCAAACATGGAAAGAATCTTGAGTATAAGCACTGGTTAACTAAGTTAATACCAACGAGACCGCTCAACCCTTATAAAGTAACCAAAAGATATAATAATATATAATAATAATATATAATTTAAAAATCAATTGTGCAGATTAATATATATTAAATATTGTTGGAAATTACTTGACTGTTTATTTAAGAAAGTATTATAAGACTGTTTTTTATATATAATATATACAGAAATTTACTGGTGATATCACGAGATAAAATCCCTAAGATTGACATTCAAAACTGCATACGATTTTTAGGTATTAAAAAACAATTTAGTTGGTCTGTTTACATCAGTAGATCAGAAAAAAATAATCTGTTAATTTGAAACCACTCTAGCATGGGTAACTAGAAAGTAAGCTCAAAAACCGAAACCAAATCGGATTCATATCCGATTTACAAACAGACGCCGATGCCAACTGCACTTTTCCAGCTTCTTTGGTTTTGATGTGTGTTATCTGTGGGAAATGAGAATTTTAGAGAAGGGCACATGGAACGAACGGTCAGACAAAAATATGAAAATATACGAAATGCAGGCTCTCATATGAACATGGTTTTCTGGCAAGAGGGATCCTTGGCCACCGTATATGGCACCTGGGGAAATCAAGCAGCCAGGACTCTCATGCCAGCCTCGTTCCGCCACTTCAACTGCAACTGTAAATGAAATGAAAACGACCACAGACAAATAAGAAAACATGACAACAAGTTGGTTTTTCCCCCTTTTTCCTGTGCTTAGGCGCATTTCCCATGAAAAGAGTTGCTTTTGACAGTCCACTAAAGTCCTGGAATTTATCAAGAGAGAAAACGGCAAGAGGGGGAAAATTCCTTAGTTCGTAGAAATTTCAGTCTCCTAGTTTTCATTTCGATTGGGTGCAAAATGAAAACTAAAACCAATCAGTTTTAGTAAATAAAAGTCCTACTCTATTACGCATTTCAACAGAAATATTTTCACTTTTAATTCTTCCTCGGTTTTGTGGAAAAATAAAGGGTAAGGTGACTGCTTTAGGGTTGGAACTTATTAAAATACAGGAAACAACTAGCATAGTTTTTCGTGATTTCTGATTAAATTAAATATAATAAAGTACAAGGGTACAACTGTTTAAATACTGGCTTATCTATAACTTTTCTATACTACCATAGACAGAAGTTATAGATAAACCTGTATAAAAACCATTCATAAAATCAGAAACCCCTTAGACAGCAGTTTAGATTAACCCGTATTCAAACAATTGTATCCTATACACCTCAAAACATTATGATTCAAGTTTAGTTAACTTTTAATGCAGACCTGCTCTTTAATACCAGGTTAACCTGTGCGACTTAAATGTCAAAACTGTGGAGCAGCCAAGCTGACTTCTAATTCCAATTTCTGGTGCCAAGTTTCCCCACCAAGATGTGGGTGGTGTTCTTAACTCCAAGGAAAACCCCCTCCTGAATAGCTGTCGCAACGCATTAAAATGGCCAACACGGCTTTTGGGGGAGGGAGTGGATGGGCAGACGACTAGCTCCAACCACAATTTATGTCGACTTCACTTCCGGTCTGTGGGAAATAACTCTTGTTAGGCGTTCAGGAGCCAGAAGTCCTGCCCTGTTGTACACTGTGTGTGTGTGTGTGTGGGTGCGGTATTTCTTGTCATCATTTTCAGGCAGCTGCAAATTAACTTGCATAATTTAAGCGTCAGTCGGAAAATGTGGTCTTCAGTTCATCGGCGCATTTAAAGCCTGGCCAAGACTATTATGGCCTTTTGGCCTTGGCTCTTAAATCATGAGCGCACTGGGCGCATAAATCAAAACAATGCTCTGTTCCGTTCTTTGGCTCAATTAATAAGAAATTTCCATAAATGAGCCTTAATTAGATTGGGCGGTTAATTGAAATTGGTTAAGTTGTATGACGGAACGTGTGTAGGGATATTTCACACATTTTGATAAGGACAATTTGTACTTATAGAAAATTAAATTTTTTATTTTTTGGTAAGAAAAATATAGGTAAAAGGTTATTTTACTAACACTTGAATATGTAAGGAATCACAGAAATCACTACATGGGCGTCTAAGAGTATGCAATGGAAGAGGACTTTTGTATTTAAAATATTTTGTAGCATACTTACAGACACCTCTATAAGTGATTTCAAAACCGTAGTATTTTCCTTTGGCATTGTAAATATAAAGAAATATTGTAGATTATTTCGAAATATTTCCACGCTGTAGGAATTACTCCTCATTATGCGTAGTCAGTATAGAAATGACGACAGACTCTTTGTCCTTGGCTGTGGCGCCAGAAAAATGTCAAGTTTCGGCAATCACATAAATTCTATGGCGCGTGCGGTTTTCGGGACTCTAGTTCTGGTAGCAGTAAATCTGCACATTTTTAAGCGCTATCCGAAAATCGGGAAGGCACTGCAAAAGCCAATGACTGCCACTTGGCTACATTGGGAATTTTGAGCAGAGGAAACGGAACAAAAAATTGAAGAAAGGGAAATAAAACATAAAATGTGAATGCGAATGCGAATGCCAGTGCTGGCGGCTTGTTGCCGGCATTGGAAATTTACGAGTGACACAAATGGCCTTCCTGCTGCATTGCAGTCGGTTGGTAGTGGAAATGGTAATGGAAATAGGAGAAGCTGCTTTAATGACATGACAAATTATGAAATTTTTAAGATGTTTAACTTTCCTGGCAAGCTTTCAGATCGAAAATGAGTTTATGGGAACAAGAACAAGAAGAAGACAGTAATAGGCATTAAAGATTTATATTATTTATTTTATGGCTTTGTCTTATGGGTCAAAGTGTTCTATATTTCAATGAAGAAGTTTTAAAGGGTACAAAATAAAAAAGAGGTCTTAATGCTATAGTCCTGGTCAAATAAAATAAGGCTAAACAATTAAAGGGCATTTTTTAAAAGACCTATGACCTATTTTTAACCGTGGTTTTAATGGTTGAAATAATCTAAACTTCAAATTGAATAAATTTTACAGTGGTCACCTGGAAAGCAAAACTTCCCATGTCGACAAGTGCAATCCAAAAGTTTTTCAAATGTAGCGCAAACTTTAAAGGCAATGCAATCTCTCGGAAATCCGCAAACAAAGCCGCCTGTCGTTCATAGAACTTGGTCCTGACTCAAATCATGGCATAACAATAAAGCACAAAAAACAAAAAACAAGGCAAAAACCACACAAGAAAGCGCCAAGAAGCGACCAAGTTAAAGACAAAGGCTCTTGCCACATATTGTCTCCTGAAGGAAGATGAAATGGAGACGAAGATGGAGCAACTGGGACAGTTCGAGTTCCCAATTCACGTACATATGGCCGTGTCAGCAGAAAGATTAACAACAATAAGATATATCTCGACCCATCGAAATTGAAGTGACAAAGTGTGCGGCGGCAGCGTCTTGCCAACCAGAATCGTCCTTCATTCAGTTAAATTCAGTGTGTTGGGTACCCCAAATCTCAGGACCCGACTATTGTTACCAAGAAGGATATTGTGGCTGACAGGAGTCGACAGCGTTTGGCCAAAATTGATGTGGGTGATGCCTACGGATATTTGTATTTGCCACTCGAAACAATAAATCCACTCGGGGCAAACCCAAAACTGAATCAACCATAATAACCCAAAGGCAAAGATCGCAAAAAGTGAAAGAACCCGACGACCAGAAAGAACCAAAGTGTAAAAATTATGGCCAAAGTTCGACAAGGTGGACCAATTGATTTGGGTTTATTGTGTTACAATTGAGCAAATGACCTACACAGAAAGAAATATTCAAGTACATTGTTCTTGAATTGAGAAATTTGTTCTTGAAAACCGTGTAAGTACATTTTGGTATCAAAATGGTGAGAAGAGAAAAGGTAAAATGAGTATACACTTCTGACTGGAATAATAGTTTAGTTGTTAAGATATACAATGTAAATAACGCCAATTCAACTTAGTTCAAGCAAAATAAAAACATTTTTAACTTCAGATGAGAACGTCAGAATTCTCTCTGCGTATGGATCGAGATTATTTCCATGACTAAATTACTTCGCTAATACTTTTTAAGTACATTATAATTACACATTGGACATTACAAATTATTGGTATATAGCGCAAACCCAGATAATCCTTAAAAAAATATTACGTTTTAAAAAGTCACATATATAAAAATGTTCTTTCCCATTCCCATTTGGAATCACTCTACACTCAACTGGTATAAAGTTATTCAAAACCAATTAATTAACCTCTAATTGCATTGGCAATGAAATCTAATTAATCAATCTGCTTGCATACAACAGAAACCAACTTATTTGGTACTTTGATTAATTGCTGAAACTGAGAGAGGCGAATAAAAATGCATTTCAAGACTGGACGAAGCTGTCCAAAAGTAAAATCAATCTTCGTTTCAGAAAGTTTTTGTGTTTTTGCTTTTGACACTTGCTCGGTCGTATTTTCTGGCCAAAGCAAAAGGTTGGCCATAATTGTCAGGGGCAGGTTTTAGTTGGCCCTAAGGTTGGGTAGAAAAAATTGAGAAGGGTTGACCTCAAGCCGTGATTTGTCTTGTAAGATGATTTACAAGTAATATGTATATAAGGTATCAATATTAAAAATTGTCAAATGATCATACTTTTATTTTTATTAGCTATGAAAATAATGTAAAGCTCATGAAGTTTCTTAAATCATTCCCTTGTTGATTATACTAACTTAATGATTTATTAATTAAATATAAATTTTAAGTGCATCCTTGTACCCAACACAATTATGCTCTGTATGAGTTTCTTTGTATCTCATTTGAATTCATGCTTTAATATGAAGAAAGTACAAAACAATAAGGCAGTGTGAATGTCGCATTCAAGCCTGTCGCAATGTTTTTGTTATTGTCTGGCAAAGGCTCTTGAGACTGACATATAAAACATGTCTAGCTCGAAGTGCGTGAGTTGCTGTTCCTGCCTGAATACTGTTAGCACAGGAATCACCCGGGTAGATATGTTCTCCCATCCCCATCCACCAACCCGCCTATCCATCCCCATTTTCAGTCCATTCCGATGGCCAAGCTCTCTTATTGTCACAGGCAATTTGATGACTGATATTTGTACCATTTAGTTC